AATCGAAACGAAGACGAAGGCAAACATAACGTTTCCCCGTATATAGATAGAACTGAAATATAAATGAAGGAAAACTACCGACACCAGTAACGCTATGGCACATCACCAATTGCGAGAAATGTCCTTTCGTACTTTGTTAAGCTTTTTTTCGATTAAAGTTTTGAAAAATAAACAAATTTTGCTTTAAAATTTAACTTGAGCTTTTTCGTTTTGAGTGTAATTGCAAGTTTTGGAATATTTATGAAAGTTTATTCCTGGAAGTTGAAAGAGCCCAGCGTGCCGTAATAAAGGTCATGTTAAAGAAACCTTTTCGATTTCCTACAGAGACACTCTACAAGGAATTTCCCGTTCTTAGAGTTAGGCAGCTATTCATCCTTAAAGCCCTCAACGCAGGTCCGACTATCAGTCTTTACTTACGAGAAGGGTATTTAGTATTCCCAAACCCCGCTTTAAGTCCCTATTCGCTAGACGTTGTCCAGCTTATTTACATACGCTTGTTTACAATACAGTTATAAAACAATGCGATATCAAAGATCTGTCCTATTCAGCATGTAAACGCGTTGCAAAGCATTGGTTGCTCTCGCTAAGTTATGATGATTCTGAAAGAGTACTGTTTGGGTAACATACGTAACAACACTCACACACACACACACACACACACACATTCGTGCGCGCACGAATGCTCGCACATACACTCTCACTAAATATACTAATCAGAAAAGCCTGTGTTTTAAGTTTTTTCACCTTAATTTCATTTTAAGCCACAATTACCAATTTACTTTGTAGTTATCGTTTTATTTTTTTCATTTTAGTCACTTTATTTTTGTTATTAGCAATGAGTCTTCACGATGTAACTAAACACCTATCGCAAATCTGGCAGCTCTGACACGAACACTTTTTCGTTACAATAACATGCCTATACAGCGTGTCGTTACCAACGCGACAATAAATGAACACACATATAGAGGATAAGTTTTTAAAATTGTATTAAACATTTACATTCTTCAAATATCAATAATTACAGAGTTATTAAATTTTCCAAAACAAACAATTTTAGAACACCCTTACGTATAAAACTGTAACGTAAAGTTAATTTGTAAAGGTCACAAAGCATATGAATGGGTTGAATGAATTTAAAAGAGACAAAACATACTGTTAGAAGGAGAGGCTTGTAATGCGACGCTGTGGCGCGATTTGTAGAGGATGTTACAAATTTTGTTTCTTATTTACTTAATTAATTTGTTTGAAAAATATTTTTTTAATTATGGATTTTGTTTAACGTTAATATTTTTTTTATGATTATTGGTAAGTAGTGTTAGATGTGTGTTCATTTATTGTCGCGGTTGTAACGACACGCGTGTAATACCTATGCCACGCCTACATGACATCGTTTAATTGGCACAATAGTCTATTAAACTTGACGAACACTGAAAAGTACATCGCACGATTACACGGCAAGAAATTTACATACATAATAAGTGTCACAAAACCGTTAATTAACTTTACGGTGCAAGGTCGGAAGAGTAATTAACTCAACACATTTGTCCGCCTACAAATATTACGATTATAATTAAAATACATAGTAATTAAAATATCTTACAAATACGAGAACGTGTCTGAGCAATATAGCTTAAGGAAAAATAAATGTGTATTGTTTTTAAGCTAATAATAGTTTATTAGTTTAAAGATTTTCTACAAATTTTATTAATAAATGTTTGTAATAGATAAAAGAAATTTAAGTATTGTTCATGTCCAATGTTCATATCTTCTCAATCGCACGTATTGTAATTTACGAAAACAAAAAACACGATAAAATTCATAAAATTTTTTTTGAGTCGTTTAGAAGCCTATTGGAGAAACACAGAGAGACAAAGATTCTAATAACAGTGATTATGCGTCTTACAAATAGTGATATTCACTTCAATTTTGACGTATATTTCACAAAATGAAATCACGGACAAACTTTCTTTTTTTTAGAATACAGTAATTAACCTTTATCGTACCACCAAATTTAGTAGACATTGCGTTCCGCTGAAGTTTTATTTGGTAATAAAACAAAAGCGATCGATATTTGGCCATCAAAAAAACGAAATAAGAACTATATTAGGTCAATCCGGCATGAGAATCCAATATTGCGAACAAATTGACTAAAACATAACAACAGAATACATTTATCAACAGGACAAGAACCATGCCGGCGATAATAAATAAAACAGGACGTTTGAAATTCGCGTTTAACTTGAAAGGTAAAACTCAATCAACAAAGACTAACTGGAGAGTTGTGTTAAAGTTTCAACTGAAGATTGAAACGGCTGTCAAAGTAACGGGAGTTTTTTTATGCAGAGCAACGAACACATTACAGGTTATGGATCGACAAAAAAAAAAAGAAACATTGTTTCGTACGAGGAGCGAATCAAATTGCCAATTGGCTATAATCGATAAGATGGCCTCTACTGCGCTGTTTCGATGAACCGGGGTTAGCGCCCTTGTGGTGACGACTGTTTTTGTAATATGGCTGAGGATAATTTGGTTGAACTGACCATTATATATTACTAGCGACCCGCCCCGGCTCCATACGGATACAATGTATTATACATATAAACCTTCCTCTTGAATAACTCTATCTAGTAAAAAAACCTCATCAAGATCAGTTTCGTAGTTTTGAAGATCTAAGCATACATAGACAGACAGCAGAACGACTCTTCTTTATACAGTACATGTGTAATGATTGCTAACCGATGCCCACTGACGAGTAATCATATTAAAAGCAGACCATCAGTGGTTTGCTTGTAATAAGATGGATAGATATTACAAGACTAAATATTGTAACACATATCATGGGATAACTATTACCTGCATCATGAGTAATGATTTCATTAACCGGAAACATTATCATCATCATATTTTCAATTTATTCGAGTCCACCGGTGAACAGCCACACAGACCTCCCCCGCAGACTGCGATGAAACATGATCATGGGCCACCAGCACCCATCGACTTCCCCAACCTTTGTATAGGTCGTCTCCCCATCTAGTGGGTGGGGGGTCGTCCTACGACTGCTTATCTTTTTTTTTTTTGGTATCGGGTGGGAAATCTTCGTAAGATACCCTGTCATTCTATGACAGGGTTATGTGGGGTTCTTACCCACTAAAACCCCCTCGGTGGCCACCTGTACGTTTGGACGGACTCCGGGATCTCCTACGGAACGCACCGGTGTCCCTCGGTACTGGGCGTGAGCAAGCCGCGGAGAAAGATAAACCTTCCCCTATTCCCTCACCATCTTGCAGCAGCTGGAGGCCACTTCGTGCTGCTGCCAATCCATGTCCCCTTTTAGTCGCCTTTTACGACAGGCAGGAGATACCTTAGTCCTATTGTAGAGCCCGGGACTACAGGCCTGACGACTGCTTACCTACGAGTTTACCACTCGAGAATCTTTGTTCAAGAAAACGACATACAAAACAAATAAAAAATGAATTAAACCAATTAAAAAGAGAAACATGTTATTAATTAAATGGCATCTGTATTAAGGCACGAGCCCACCTATTCACCTTACGGATTATTAGTTAGATAGTGCATACGGCTGCATTGTTTCCAGTTTTAACTAAGCCAACGACAATGTAAACAAATTAATTGACCTTACAACCCAAGTAATCTTGCTGTAATTAGAGATACGCCTCAACTTTTTTCATCTTTCTCCTTTTATTCACAGGTTTCCATGTTTTGAACTTCTTTTTAGGGTTCCGTACCCGAAGGGTAAAACTGAATGTATTTCTGTTGCCGTTATAACAACAAATACTAAAAACAATATAAAAAATATTTAAGTGGGCCTCCCATAAAACAGACATCCCATACATTTTTGCAATTTTTATAGAAAAGGTAGGGAACCCTTCGTGCGCGAGTCCGACTTGCACTTGTGACCCGTTTTTTTAAGCCTTGTATTCGAAAGCCTTGTATCCGGTGGTAGATTTTTTGTTGACGTTCAATAAGAGCTTAAGTTAGGCCTATATTGAATAAATATACTTTGAATTTGACTTTGAAAGGTATCCCATCTAATCGATTTAACAAACTTTCTATCTAACTGAACTAATATTTCTATAAAATAATTACTGGCTGACGACTTGTCAAGAAAAAATGGAATGTGGAAAGCACACGTAAATAATAGCTTCGTCATAGGTTGTGTGACTGGTACTGGTCTGGTTGAAGGAGTTACAGGAATGAATTTAAGTTAAATATACGCATATGTAATACAGTCGAATACTGTAGTTTTTCTACTAACAATATAGCACGGATTAAGACGGGATTACAAAAAAAAAAAAAAAACAGGCAAAGTTATTCAGAAACGGTAAGAATAAAATGGGTCGAACTTATCTTAGTTGAAAGCAAGATTGGAAATATCGATTATTCGACAGCTATGGCATTGTATCCAAGATTGACTGCACGACTGACATTTAAATGTGGCCCAAAAATAGTTATAACTGATTTATAAATCGGAAAATAGTAACAATATTTTACATAATCAACTGATTGGACATTCGACTGCTGTCCAAACTGCGTGTCTTTTAAGTTTTTTAGGCATAAATTGTTTTTTTTTTTATATATGAAATGCAGAAGTATAATAACACTTCACGAAGGAATTCCTTGTTCTGTGAGTTCTTGTTCTGGGCGGATCTGTGCCCATTCGTGCAACAGCCGAAGCTGATGCGTAGCCCTACCACAGTGTACCTACTCATTTCGCATATTGCTAAGCCATTGGCTTCGGCGCCGTGGGTTAGATTCCCGCACGGAACAAGTATTTGTGCGATGCACACAGATAATTGTTGTTCCGGATCTAGGTGTTTGTTTGAAGGTTGCCCTCAGGAAGACAGGAAACAACACATCAAGCCAATTCCATTAACAACATTCACACCATGCGCCGATACCGTTAGTTAGGATAGGGACAGGAGCATGAGAAGGGGTTACCGTTATTACTATCACATTCAGCTATGGTTGTGGTGACTCACCTGGGCACGCAGATGGAGTGGTACAGGCCGTGGTTCCGCAGCACGTGGATGAATTCTGGCAAGGTCCGGCACGCGCCCATTATGCTGAACGCCGCCAGCGCACTGTTCCACACTATGAGGGTCCGTTTCAACTCGAACCTGGGACAAGCGGAGAGCTTAGAAACGTTACGTATTCAAATGTTATGTCGACTAGAGTAGATAAGTACCAATGTGGTGTGACGAAGGTGATTAAATCATTTCTATAACATGCGGTACAGCCTCAATTTAATTAAATAAAAGTTATGTACTTGTGTGGTCGCCTAAACAATTTTTTATATAATCTTATCTAAAGTGTATCAAATATATAGATCAATGCTTATAAATGCTAATTTACCACGTGTTCATCGGTTAAGAGAAAACATCGTGAAGAAACGATTATGCGAGATAAACTCTACCATTCACGTAGCGGACTATTATACTACAACTATATAACATTCTCGGCATAGAGGCGACCTTCGCCACACGTGTTTAATGTATGAGCAGTTGGCTAAATTTACTTTACTGAATAGTCAAATAACAAATAGACATTTCTTAATAGTCTCCAAAGTTGTAACGTGAATAAAAAATAGTAAAGGAAGACGGCAATGGGTCCTACCAAGTTCGCTTACGACTACGTTAACATAAGGAAGCGTTTAAGCAATGCCAGCGAAGCCAACCTGTTCGCAACCGTATGCTGCAAACAGGTTGTTTTACCGGGGCTATCAGAAAATTCCACGCATTGATCTAATTACTAGCATTGCTATGTTTCGAAAACATTATATCATCCACACACTGAAATGTATATACGTAACTATAGCTATTTATATACCGTTACCTAAATATATGCTAATATAATAGAATAAGGTTTATAAAATTGGTGATCTGACTGACATGACTTTTCTTTTAAAGGATATTTATTTATATAGTGCAAGTATGCGCTTAAGATGAAATTTAATAATTGGTAGAAAAATGGACATGGAAGTTCGGTGGCAAGAGTAGGGCACGTATCCCAGAGGACGCAGGTTCCAATTCGTCCATTGTTCCACGAACTTTTAAAATGACGTGACTTTATTAGTAAAAAACTACTCTGTGCCCGGGTGGTATTGGATCAAAACATTTTTTTTAAATAAAAGTAACTTTTCATACAAGTTTCGATGTACGATCGATTCGATTAAAAAAACGCGAATTTGTTATTTACTATACTGATAAAAGAACCGAATTCTTTATGTAAATATACAAGAATTCTCAATTGTTCTCAAATATTACCATACAATTGCAATCATAAAATACAGGACGTATTTTTGGGTGTTATTTAAATACTCGACTAAGTAAGATATGATAGAGAATCTAAACCATGTTTTTTTTGGAAAAGTAAAGAAAGAGGCAAACAATACAAATTGCGTTGCCGGGCTCTGAGGAAGGAATAAGCTCTCTTCTTGAATATAAAATGGTTATATGTAGCAGTCGTAAGAACTTACTTTTACAATCTTTACAATTAAGATATTAAATTGTCTCACAGTGGATGCAAAAATGCCCAAATTTAGGTGAAAACTTCTATAATACATATAAAATTCTTAAACGTTAATGACCGTTTTTCGATTTTTTTTTCTGTCTGTAAGTCAGAAGCTTTGTTTTAGGATAGGCTCCGAAAGGGCTCAATCGCTCAAATGGGCTCGGACATCAATTACCTTTTAAAAATACTCTTATAAGGAATTAATACAGGAATTTTAAGTTAACATTTTTAAGCCGTCACTAGATCCACAGGGATGGTATCGCGGACATAAGCATGTATGTAATATACCTGGTAATAACCAATAGCAACTGAGAGACCTTAATTTAAAAGGCCATATGATGCGGATCAATTAACTGAGGACCAACATGTCAATGCCTTACTCGACGTTCGATGTTCTCGATCGAATAAATCGATAAAATTATCAATTTTATCTTAGCTTGTTAAAAAAATATAAGTACAAAAATTCGAATTTCTCGCCAGTATTTCTTTAACATTCGATTAAAAGACCCGACATGACGAATTCGAAAGGAAATTTTGAGCAACTTTTTTCGACCACCTTCCAAAGCGACGATGAAACGGGACATTACGGGCGTTGCACGCGCTAAACGTGTGCCAATGATAACAATTCATCGAGGTACCTTAGTATATTCTAGTATAATAGAAAAAGACAATATAAAGCGAAAAATTGCCAAGCTGACAGGACATTCACCTTATGCTATATGGCCTTATCTCACTCACCAGAACGGAGTGCGAATAATACTTCCAGTTCACGCCATTCAATGAGGCCGTGGTACTTCCACGGACGAGCCTGCCCCCTCGTGCAACAGCTGAAGTTGCTCCGTGGTCCTACCACGGTCAGAAACTACGCCACGTACTGAGCGATCGCGAAATGTGGCAATGGTGGATAAAAGGGAGGGGCGAGGTGGCGTCCGAACTTTGAACTTTGGCAAAGCGGCGAGGTCACGAGGTGTCGCACTCAAAACAAACTATTCCTTGAGGTACAACAGAGGTTAGCATGGCAGTAAGCTTGAAACAGAACACGTGGTACTTTTTATTCCTCACTATACATTTTCTATTTGATTTCGAGGAGTTCCCTGAAGTAGTTCCAGTTCAAGGTTCGATTACACCTGTATTAGGTGAAAAGGAAATTTTAATGAGGTAACAAATAAAAAAAAATACAACCGAATTAAGAACCTCCTCCTTTTTCGAAGTCGGTTGAAAGGGGCTAATCTAAAACATTTAAAACGATTTTTTTTATAATATTTGGATAAATACAAGGCCTTGTTATTCGTTAAGTCCGTAAGCTACATTTAAATATATCTTTTTAATTTTTAAAACATCACACTTAACAGTATTGTTAGATTCTCTTAAATGAAGCTTTGCGGTGGGTAAATGGTGTTATCGCTTTTATTCCGTAGACAAATAATATTAAATACCCTCGGGAAGACCGCCTGTGGCTTTCCACACCTTTGTTCAACAAGCTGTATACAGTACCTGAGCAGAATCAGCTTGCATCAGAATGACATTTGACACGCAGCCTTCGCAAGAATACAGTATCCTACGAAATCAGGAAATGAAAAATTAGTGTACAATGTTGTCTAGGGCATAATCTAGTTCGGAATATAAAATCACTCAACCGAACAGACCAAAAACACACCACGACTGTCTTCATAACTCGAAATGGAAGTATAACAAAGACTTTCGTGTTTGTCTGGTGAGTGAGGTAGCCGGAGCCTAATTTTCAAGCGGTTGTCGACACATCTGCAACCCTCGGGTGTAGCAGATGTCCATGGGCGGCGGTATTCACTTAACATCAGGTGAACCGTCTGCACGCTTGGCAACTTTTCACATAGAAACAAATAGTTGTTGAGTAGGTACGCGACATAAATTACTATTCTGAAGTGATATCGATGGAGTAGAATTAAGTCCATTAAATCTAAAACAGTGCATTTGTGTTACACCTACTACTACAATCAATTCTTAAATAATGGAAATTTACTGTGGAAATTACCGAGCATAAATTATATTTAGACTTTATTCCGTGTTTGCTTAAAAACTAGAACAGCAAGTTCACAGCTCTAGCTCACATAATCGTGTGAACACGATTGAATTATTAATACACTTTAAAATTAAACATTAACGATTAAAGAATAATGAATCATATAATAATATAACCGATTATAGTGTCGCTATCATACAATCATAAATATCGATTTTGCAACATTTACAGTGCGTTTATCAATGCGGTTGTAGCGTTCAATGTCGCATTATTCGCTATCGGTCCGACATCCGATGATAGAGAGTAATGAACCAATTCACGTAATCACTATCGATATCGCGTACCTCTAATGGGGTTATGACGCGGAACACTACTACTTGAGTTCTAAAAATGTACCATCAGCCGCAAGTTGAAAGAATTGTCACGTTCTTTCAACTTGTGGAGCACTTTAAAAATCAGAATTCTACATGTACTGTCCAAACTATAAAGAAGCAAAAGAAAGGGAGTTTACTAATATAAAGGCCACTTTATAGTCTATATAATGATGTCAATATGTTATGTATAGTCGCGATTAAGATCGCGACTGTACATAACATATTCTTTTGTTTTTTTTTTCTTTCTTTACTGTCTTTATTCTTTTTTTATTGTCTTTCTTTACTTTTCCAAAAAAAAAAACACGGTTTAGATTCTTGATCATATCTTAATTAGTCGAGTAAATAACTCCCAAAAATACGTCCTGTATTTTTTGATTGCCATTGTATGGTAATATCACAATTGAGAAGTCTTGTATATTTACATAAAGAATTCGTTTCTTTTATCAGTCTGTATATAACAAATTCGCGTTTTTTTAATCGAATCGATCGTACATTGAAACTTGTATGAAAAGTTACTTTTATTTAAAAAAATATATTTTTATCCAATACCACTCGAGCGTACAAACAAACAGAACAATAGCGGTCGCGCACTCGACGTGTGAATAATAACAAACGGTCGCAAATGCAGCGCAGCGTTTAATTCCGCGACAATGCTCGAAAACAAAACGTTCCGATTCCGGGACTCTTTCATCGCTTCGGGGTAACGGAAACCGCAACAATGCAGCGAAGACCTTTGAACGTTCGAGAGCAATGCAACACGACGCGATAAGACGAAAAAGCATGACAATGTTGACTCGAGTTAATATTTTTCAGCACCTGATGTTAAGACCCGCCGCCCACAGACATTTTTAACACCGGGTGCAAATGTAAAGTTGCGAAATATTAAAAAAAAAATCGGTCCATAATTTAATACGACCTTCGTTGTGGTCTTACTCAACAACAAAGCTATGATAGACTTCGATTCGCATTTAATAATGAACCCATCCCATGCCACTGTTCGCTATAATTGGTTTAATGAGTTTAAGCGTGGATGTAGCAATCTCTTAGAGTTGGTCAAAATATATCACTGGAATGAACAAATACATAATATACATCTCTTTTCATATAGTGATATATATATATATCACTGTTTAATATCAGAAGTTCCCTAACGATATGTTTGAATTTTTGGCAATTGAATACGGAACTAAAAAAGGTGAAATTATTTATTATTTGCACACTTTATTGTACTAAC